GTTGCCCACAGTTTAGTCCTTTTGTGGATTGTCGAACCCAGGTCTTCCTGTAGCCTTCTGTTGTGACTGATGGGTGTGAAGCTTAAATCTGGTCACTTGAGGCCCATAGAGGACAACTCTAGAGGAGGATTTATGCTCTGGAACTCTGTATTAGATTCCCTTTGTCTTGTGTAGTGTTCTTCCCCTGTTCCACCGCCTTCCTCTAGCCCTTCATTTGTACAAATGATGGCCTAAACTTTTTCCTCACACCAAACTCCATCTCTGAGTTTCTTTTCCACAGTACCCAATGGTAGCATTCTTCAACTTTTCCTGAAATGAGCCATGGAGTCTATTACGCATCATTTTTTTTTATATTGTTTTATTAAATCCCCTCAGCAATCCAGAAAATCCATTATTGTACTTTTAAATGACATGTCTGACCATTAGGTAATCATTGTATGGTTTCTTTTCTTTCTTTCTTTCTTTCTTTCTTTCTTTCTTTCTTTCTTTCTTTTTTTTCTTTCTGTATTTTTTTATGGAGACAAGTTCTCGCTACATAGTTCTGAATGTCATGAAGCTTGCTATGTAGACCAGGTTGGCCTTAAACTTATGGAGATCTACTTGCCTCTGCCTGCTTCTGCTTCATGAATTCTGGAATTAAAGGTATGCATCACCATTCCTGGCTATGTAATGTTTAATAAATTTACAGATGATATTAAATGTGCAATGTGTAACATATATTATGTTCAAAATCTCAAAGAGAAATATCTGGCACTAGGGAAATGTCCAGAGATCTACAAGGATGACCCCAACTAACAATCTAAGCAATAGTGGAGAAGCTATCTTAAATGTCCTTCCCCAATAATGAGACTGATGAATACTTTATATGCCATCCTAGAGCCTTCATCTAATAGCTGATGGAAGCAGAAACAGGCATCCACAGCTAAACACTGAGCTGAACTCCTGCAATCCAGTTGCAGAGAGGGAGTACTGAAGAGCAAAGGGGTCAAGACCAGACTGGAGAAATCCACAGAAGCTGCTAATCTGAACAAGGGGAGCTCATGGACTCCAGTCTGACACTGGGAAACCAGCAAAGGACTGACCCAGACTCCCTGAATGTGGGTGTGTGTTAGGAGGACTGGGCAGTCTATGGGGCTTCTGGGAGTAGATCAGTATTTATCCCTTTGGGAGCCCATTCCATATAGAAGGATACTCCCTCAGCATAGACACATGGGGGAGGGCCTAAGCCCTGTTCCAAATGATATGACAGACTTTGAAGACTCCCTATGGAAGGCCTCACCCTCCCTGGGGAGCAGAAAGGGGATGGGATGGGGGTTGGCGGTGGGACACAGGGGAGGACGAGAGGGTACAGGAACTGGGATTGACATGTAAAACAAGCTTGTTTCAAATTTAAATAAAAAATTATCAAAAATTAAAAAAAATTTCAAAGTGGAGCTGTTAACTGAATTTATCAAATACAATTTGGTTTCATAAGATTGTCTTCAGTTGGCAGCAGGAAGCAATATTAATATAAACTAGATTGCAGCACATGGTTTATTTACTAAATAATCACACAAAACCAAAACTCAATGGACTAATAAGTGTGCGAAATTGAAAGGGAAAAATAAATGACAGATGACTACTTCCTGGAAGACATATTGAAGACAAGGCAGAGTATTAGAAAGGGGCTAGAAAATGAAAGTCTGATTCATCAAGTACCTAACGATGAAGTAGGGTTTCTTGGGTCTTAGTCTTGCTTCCATAATGTGCTGCATGTGTGTCTTTGGCAAATGCACCTAGTCTATTTGGCTAAGAAGGGAAAATGTAAAATGGGAATAGTAAAGTTATTCTCCATAGGGTTGTGGAGAGAATTAATTAGGGTACTATTTGTGAAGTGTTTAGGACTCGGCTTTGGGTACTAAGTATGAGGCTTAATAAGTGTTATTTGCCATGAATATGACCAGTGGAATCTAGAACTGGCTTCAGCATCAAATGAGGCATCACTGAAGTTTCTTTATGTATACAAAAATGCTAACGTGCTAAACACCGCACATGTTCACCTGTTTGATATTGTATGTACTTTGCTTTTAAGCATCCATGTCTAATTTTTTTGAATAATTTGTAAAATTATAATGAGATGGTCAGCTCTTACATGACACACATGCATGCACACACAATTTTCTGAGGTTGTTTTTATGTTGATGCTATAGTGTAAGTAGAAGTGAAATATTTCAAGAAAAATATCCACATCACGATAGGATGTGAAAGTAGAAACATGTAGTGTATGGGCTGAACCCTATTTTCAGTGCCAGGGACAGAACCTGCTGGGCAGGCACTCAGCCACCGGACTACACTCCAGCCCTTTGAGACTGAGACATACTCCCTCCCGAGCAGAAGATGTTTATTGGGATAGCATTTTTGACAGATTTGGAATTTTTAAGTAATCTGAAGGTACAGGTTTGTGGTTGTCATGGCTTAAAGGGGCTCTACCTGACAGAAGCTTGCTAAACCTTTGGCTTTTGGCTACCACACTGTTGATCTGTGCCATCCCAGTTTGCTTTGTTTTGTTTTAAATCTACATCACACCATTCTGCTTTTTGGTTTTGTTTTCTTTCTTCCTCAAATTCCCTGATTCTTAGTAACAGATAATAGTAGAAGAAAGTTGGAGGGTTTATGTTTCTGCTTGAGCAGTTTCTTTCTCTTGATGCTTTCTGATTCTTCTGTTCTGTTTCCTGTGATCTGGTACCAAAAAGTAGCAGGAAGAAACTAGGGCCTGAGCTTTTTCAGAGAGAATCATTTACAAGGTGCATACACACTCCTCTTATTATGGCGATTCTCACTGCACTTCTTCTGTGGGTGGGGATAAGCTCTTGGTGCCTTAATTTAAATGTTTGTTCTTAAGAAGAGAAGGTGCCAGTTGAGAAAGTTTGGATGTGGGGCTTGAGGGAAGATGTGAGGGAGTGATGAGAGAAAAAGGTGTACTCTTTCCACTATTTTGTGAATTCTATGGTGTGGAAATCACCACCAGCTCCTGCTCAGCTGGTTGAAGATCATGGTTTGTTCTCAGATGAGCACACGCGGAGCTTCTCCGTGAAAGTCACATCTAAAATCTCAGACTTGGGGGTGGGAGCTGAATCTGAAGAACTCAGAGGCAGCAATAGGGAAATGCTCTGCTCGCTCAGCTCAGCCACCAGGTCTTCTTGAGACTTTGCCAGGTCTCTTGAGCTGAATTTTGATGCTAGCATCAAGCAGGCATTAAAGTAAACCACTAGTAATTGAAACTTTTTTTGAGGCTGGGAATGTGGCTCAGTTTATGGTATGCTTGCCTAGTTTGCAAGAAGCCTTGGGTTCAATCACCAGTACCACTTAAACCAAGTGTGGTAGCACATGCCACAGTATAATCTCAGTGCTGGGGAGTGAAGACAGGAAGATCAGGAGTTCAAGGGTCAATTCCATCTCAAAAAGAAATGATAAAGAGAATAAACATTTTATAAAGAAAACTAAAATGAAGCAATATCCTCTCTCTCTCTCCCTCCCCCCCCTCTCTCTCATGTGTGTGTACATGCCATGGTGCATTTGTGAAGGTCAAATGGTAACTCTGGAGTTGGTTCTGTTCTCTACCTTTATGTAGTTTCTGGGGATTGTAATCAGGTTTTCAAGCTTGTATGGCAAACATCTTTACCTACTCAGCCATTTTGCTCCTCCCATCATCAAGAATTTTTGATGACATTAAAAAAAAAAAGCTCATGTTGTTATAATAGCAAGTGGAAAAAAAGAATACAGACATGACTAAGGAAATTAGCCAATATCCTTGACATTGCCAGCAGAGAATTTAAGCCTCTGTTGTCGGAACCTAAGTCTTAACAGCTTCGTGTGATGGAAAAACAGTATCACAATTTAAATATTTCTTCGATTCTTTTTTCAGATATCAGATGAATCATTGAACAGAAGTGAGGATAGCTACTGTTCACTCATTGTCTCATTGTCATAGCCCATGTCTTCAAGCCTTTCTTGCTCTTAAGGATCTTATCTCATGTAAATCAGACTGATTCACTGAGAATGCTTGAGAGGGGGAGGGGAGAATATATATATATATATATATATATATATATATATATATATAGTTTAATGTTTGGTAAGGGGGAAGATAGAACTGCTAACTTTGAAAAAAAATGCATGTCATTTATCTTTTTTCCTGTTTGCAATGTTTTCTTCCCCTTCCTGGAGCACTTTGCACTGGGGTAGGAAATTCTTACCACAGAGTTTTTTTTTTTTTTTTTCTTCCTCTCAACTGTAATTTAAGTGAATACTAACTAGTAACATTGCACAGAATTTTTCTGGAAAGTCAGAACCTCAGATGTGTGACAACTGAAAGGTGATTTTCTGAACTTCCAATAACCTAACTTTTCAAAAGTCAGAGACAATGAAAACTATGTATTGAACCCCCAACAGAGGTCCATGCCTGAATGTCCACTGATCTGGCAAAATGGACTCTGTGGTTGTAACTAAATTAAGGGTCTTCAGATGGAGAGACACTGCTGGGCCTGAGCAGGGCCAAATCAGTCACACGATCCTTTTAAGAGACAGGAATAGGGGTCATGGGGGGGGGGGAAGGGAATCAGGTACCCCAACAAAGGCCAGAGTGACATGTCCATGGGCCAGAGAGTGGACATGTCTTGCAGGTGCTGGGAAAGGTTGAGCCCCCAGAAGAAGTAAAGTCCTGATGATGGCTTGATTTTAACTCCACACAATGCTATTCAATCTGACTCCCAGGCATTGCGTTTGTGTTGTGTTAAGCCACCAATTTTGGGATTGCTATGGTGATAACAGAAAAGTGGTAGGTACACTTACAATGCTCCCAGCGTTATGTATGCACTAGATAGTAATTTCACCAAAGCATTTCCAAGGAGAAATATTTATTCCTCATTAAAAGACCAAAGAAGGCTGTACACTTTTTATTTATTTATTTATTTATTTATTTATTTATTTATTTTATTTCCCCCACTTGGAGAACTTCCCAGAAGTTAATTGTGATTGGGACATTTACAAGCACAAGCTCCAAGTAGATCAATATCCAGCCTCTGATTTGAATGGAGAAATCCATCTGTCTCCAGCATGCTCAGAGCCTTATTGTACAGTTTTATCTGTGGGCAGCAGAGGAGGAGAACCAATGAACTGGGAGATAACCCAGTCTGCTTCCTCTGCAAAGCTTCGGGGCATTGCACAGGAAACCTACTGCTGTGTCAAGTCCCAGAGAAGTAGAAACTTCTTCCAAGTTACTAATCACAGCGAAATGCAAGTCCACGGAAAGGGCAGGGAGGAAAGGAGTGCCCGCTGCTGATGGTTAAGAGGTGCTACCACGCAGAAGCCAACGGGAGAGCAGAACGAGCTGGCCATGGTCACTGCTGCACCTGTGAGGAGAAAAAGAACAGGGTGAGCAGCAGAAACCAGAAACCAGAAATGCGCTGCTTTTGGAGAACTTCTGACCTAGTGGTACTCTTGATATGGGGAGTCCTCGTGGCTGGTGAGTTTGAATTTTCTTCGGGAAAATGACTAGGGATGAGAGATCTGCTCTGTGCTGTTTTTGAGCCTTCCCTTTTCGCCAGGCAATACAAGCCGATTGCTGCTGTTGAGAAGGGGGGCTGGGGTTCTCTAGATGTGAGTTATCTCATCACCCCTACTTTCTGCTTTGTCTTATTTATTTTGCTTCGTGTCCTATAATATATGTGTTTCTATAATTTCCTTCACTGCCATGTCCTCATCTTCCCTTCCTTTTAAGGACAAGGCAGAATAAATTAAACACACATTCATAGCAATCAAAAGGGCTCTCTGTATTTTCTCCCTTTTGGGAAAATATCTAAATGACTGTCATCTCCCATACCCCATACCCCATCTTGGTCTCCCTTGCTTACGTTTGTTTCTTTCTATCACGCCCTGTGACTGTGGGATTTATGCATCTAGTTATGCTGGCATATCTGTGATGTATGTCTGTATTTATCTTGAAAATGTGTGGGCTACAGGAGACACTTTCTGAATCAGAAAGTGCACTCCCTAATGTCTGCATTCTTGTAGGAGTTGAATTCGATTTGGGACTACTGTGGGGGTGTCCTGGTTTCACTATAGAAGGTAGGTGGGAGTTGATGTGGGAGGGCATTTTCATGTTTCAGTTTTAGTAGATGGGAGAAGCTGCAAGGGAACAACACAGTTCTAAATTTTATAATTTAAAAATTTAAAGGAGAAATGGTACATTTTCCTCTCATCAGACTTCCTTTAAAATCATTTTTGTCTATCTCTTGGAAAAAGAGTATATCTCATAATAACCTTGTTGGTGAGCACACATAATATAACTATGGTATACCATTGCACCTCTCTGCTGAGAATTTTCACATTTCTCTTTGATGTGCATAGCAACCCAGTGAAGTAGGCATGGAAGACAGCTCCATTTTACAAAGATAGAACTTGAAGCTTAGAGAGGTGAAATGATTTGTCCATGGTTATAAAGGGTACCACAAAACACTTGCGTGAGCAATTTACCCATATGCTTTCCACTAAAGAGAACCACCCATAGTAGCTCTGCTGGAAAATGCTAAGCTAATATTGGGCTATAAATTGAATGGAAAAAGAAAAAGAAAGAGAGATCTATGTCTTTCAGTAGTTGGGCTTCTCTAGAAAGCTCCTAAAATCTGTGAAGGATGAGTTTGACAGGAAAAGCCAGGCAGGCAAGAAGCTGTTTGTGTCAGATTGAGTATTAACTTAGCAAAGCAGACAGAAAAGCAACAAAATGAAAACATAACAGATAATTTGAATTTTAAAGGCTAAAAGTTGATTTTTAAAACTTCATCTGAACACAAATTGGAGATGCTATGTTCACCAGATCCCTGAAATTCATGCTTACATCATAAAATCAAGTGTTTAGAATACAAATAAACAAATTACTTTATACACATGACCTGGCATGATAAGTTTGCTAAGAAATTATGGATAATGGTGATCTGAAAACCAACCAGGGCTTCAACTTTTTGGCCTGTTACTGGTGTTGCAGTAGCAAGCTCACTCTGTGTAACATCCATCACATAGGAGAGGGAGGTAGGGCATCTGGGTTAAGAACAGGGTGCTTTTGTTTTGCTTATTTACTTTTAAAATTTAATTTAAATTGTAAACTATGTGATATTTATCTAATAAAATACTCTATCTAGATGGAAGTTAAAAAGAGTCTAAACTCTCCATTTCATGTGTGGCTGCCTGTCCTCACTTTCACTGACCATGCCATTTCTTTCTACTTAATTTTTGTTCCATTGACTTCCACGTTTCTTATGTTCAAATTATAGTTTCATATCCAGACTTAAATCAACCCTCCTCCCCCATTTTTTATGTTACTGGTTTTACCAAAGTGAGTTGGAAAAAGCAAAGCAAAACAAAACAAAAAACAAAATAAACAAGGAACCAATCCTCCAGTGTTTTGTTTTGTTTTTTTTTTCTTTTTCTTTTCATAGTTTTTATCTTCCACTAGGGGGCAGGTAGCAACAGGAGGAGACACAAACAGCTCTAAAGAGATTAAAAGCAATGTCCAAAAAGTAATGAATTGTCCTTATTAACTTCAGCCCTATCTTCTTTTTATTTTGTATATTTGCCTACTAGCTTAATATATAGGTGTATTTTCCTCTGGACATTCATGTTTAATATTATGATAAATAAAATGTCAAGAGTTTTCTCTCTACCTCTCTGTCTCTCTCTCTCCCCGTGTGTGTGTGTGTGTATGTGTGGTATGTGTGTGTGTGTGTGTGTGTGTGTGTGTGTATGCATGCATGTGTGGTATATACAATATTGATTAAAAGTTTCCAGCAATTTAAATGAGGTATATGAAAATACAACTAAATCCTCAAGGAACATTTAAAATCAGAAAATATTAAAATAAAGAGGAGGAAAGGTAAAAGCATAGGTTGTTGGCAGTGTTACAGAGGAGTTGGGTCTTGAGTTGGGCCTTGACTGACAGCTTTGGGTAGATAGAAGTTAGAGAAGAAATTGGGAAGGAGGGATGTGTAACAGGAACAAAGGTCAGGAAGTCTGTGAGGCAATGGGATTTAGCTTACAGGAACAATGTATCATATAATAATAATAATAATAATGCATTCCAAGGGTCTCTAATGGATAAATAGGTTATCTGGATACTGTACAGTTAATGGTGAGGTCATCTGTTACCTTCTGAAGAGAAACAATAATCTAAGGCAGTAGATTTGGAAAATAATGTGGCAGCAATATCCTGTTGCTTGGCAGTGGCACTTAGCAAAGCATTCCCTTTAAAGCAGGAATAGGGAGCTTCTGAGCTGGAGATCCTACAATATGAGTTCTGTGCAACTGATAAAGGAATCATAGAGGAAGGACATAATGCTAAACATTCCTATCCATACTGGGGAGTATAGAAAAATCCAGCATTTGGAGCCATGTATGGAACAGATGTTCCCTCAAAGCTGATACAGAGATTGTAATGATAGAGGAAACACCAGAAATGCATGCAGTCAGGTCTGGGGAGCCATAATGATCTTTTTCCCTCCCTATAACAGAGAACAAGATCTAAGAAGAGATGGGAAAGGAGACAATACCACCAGCAGATTATGGCTTAGCCTTAACAAAGAGGAAATACATGCTCTGAGATTGAGAAATGGGATGAAACTGATATTAGATACAGGAAGGTTGACCAGCCCAGAATAGCTAGACCAAGATGGGGATAAATGAAGGTACTCACCATTCGTTAACTATTACTCAGTAAGACCACAGGAATTTTAGCTCATGATGCTCCCGAGCAAAACTATCCAGTGGTCATTTGGTTTTATATTATGTCCTAAGAATTAATCTATGCAGTCATTAAAACATTATCAGTGATAATGTGATTTTGGCTCTTCTCCCTTGGAATCACTGACTCCCATTTTCTATTTCCTGACTGGGTTTGGGGAGCAGGACAGTGGGTACCATGTAGCTTTGGGTTTTGTGGCAGTAAGTAGGAAGTAGTCACTGTTCATTACTTTAAGAAATGATAAACATCACAAACTCATGTAATTTTTATGAGAGTTGGTTATAATCTATTCATCCCCCCCCAAAAAAAAAACTGACAGCATCCATGCTTTAAAACTAAACAAAGAATTTCAAGGTTTTCATACCTAGAATTTACATGCCTTGTGTGTCTGAAAACCTAGGCTCTGTTCTGAGAATGCAATTTTATTTTTGTTTGAAGAAAGTACCATAGAGAAGGTGTAGTAGCATTGAGGTACACCAAGCAATTTTCTTTAAGCATCTCTGATGGTCCGAACTGTTGATGCTGAGCAGGTTTTTCTGAAGTCAGACTTAGACTGAGTTTGGTGTATAGAACATTCCTGCATCTCAAACATCCGACACAGTGGGTGGGAGTACTACTAAGCTAGCATTGATTAGAATGCTGGCCCCTTACACGCCCACCTTATTCAGTGATTAGGTGGGTTGCCCTGGGAAGGGCTTGATTTTGTGCAAGAAAGGAAAACTACCTTTGAAGTCCTGGAAAACTGAAAGTTGTCTACTGGCAGCACTCTTGGTTGGAGAAAGGGGCTGTCCCTGAAGGGTATTCTGGTTGGCACATTCTAGATATGCGCCATAGTTTCAGCCTCCTATGTTCTTCATTCCTTTGTGAAATTCTGAGTCTCTATCTGGTCTTATTTCCCCAGTCAATTTTATATCTTTAATTTTTTATTTCATTTTTTGTTGTTGTTGAGAAGTTCTTTCAGTTTTCGTTTGTATGAAAAGAATTACTAATGACTTTATATCTGAAATGTTTATCTTACTTTCATTATCAAAGCACATTGTTTGCTGGAGATGTGTAAAATTCTGGGCAGAGATTGATTCCCCCACCATCCACTTTTAGAGCCTGAAAAACTCTAATAAGAAGTCAGCCTGCCATTCACACTGTTTCTCTAAATTTAGTCTCCCATCTTCTAGGGTTATTTCCAATATTACACCCTTATTGCTTGGGTTTGCAATACTTAATCTGTCTAACTGTGGCATTTTCATCTGTAAGGGATTACTTAGTCTTTTTAGACAACATTTCCTCACTTAAGAAACAAGTCGTTATAACACTATTAGGAGATAGTCTTTTCAGAAGGGAGGGACTCAAGACACCTCTTTCATTTTGTATGTGGATTAATGAAAGCTAGTCATGTTCAAGGAACTGATGAGCATGTCACTTCATCCTTCCAGTGAACAAGTTGGCTTGGAACAGCTCTCCAGTACCAACAATAGAAGGCAAAGAGCTGTGTTAAGAGTGTGTGTATGGTAACCCAAAGTTTTAGATGTGATCGTCTGGAAACGACAGTGACATTCAAGAGAGAAACAATAGCAGCTAAAGGTTAGGGATTATCATTTAGGAAAAAAGTCACAGCTAAAATGAAGTTTGGCCATGGGAATGTTCTGCCATTGTGTCTATCACTGCTTTGTACTGCTGTTATTTAATGAAGAAAGATGTGGAGGGTCTGGGGATGTAGCTTGGTGCCAGAGCATTGC